GGAGGAGGAGGAGGAGGAGGAGGAGGAGGAGGAGCAGAGCAGAGGGCCCCGGAGCGCAGACGACCCCCTCGACGCCCCAGGAGCTCACGCCGCGCTCGGCGCGCGGCCCGGGGCGCGCCCGCAGGGCCGAGTGGCAGCACGCCGCCGGAGAGGCCGCCGTCCTGCCCTGGCCGGGCCGGTGAGCGGCCGCGCCCTCGGCGGTGCGCGCCCTCGGCGGGGCGCGGCGCGGCGCGGCGAGGGGCGCTGCTGCGCGCGCCCCCCGCTCCCTCCTCGCTCCCGGTGCCCTCCTCGCTGCTCTTCGCTCCCGCCCTCGTCGCTCCGCCCTCCTCGCCCTTCCCTCGTCGCTGCCTCCGCTCCTCGCTCCTCTCTTCTCGCGCCTCTTCCGCCACCTCCTCCACCTGCTCCCAGAGGGGGTGGGTGCTGCGCACCGAGGGTTTGCGCGGGCTCCCAGCCAAGCTTCGCGAAGACGGACCGTTCCCCCCCTTGCTCCTCCTCCCTCCCTCCCTCCTTCTCTCCCTGCCCTCCTTCCCTCCCTCCCTCCCTCCACTCCTCGTCGTCGTCATCCTCCTCCTCCCCTTCCTCTTTCTCCTCCGCCTCGTCCGCCCCGCCTCTGTGTAAGGTGATTCCTCGTCGTGCCGCCAGGCGTGTCGGTGGGGCGACCTGGGCGTTCAGCTTCCTCATCAGGGCTGCCCTTGGCGCCCGAAGTGTGCACCAGCTGCACGAATTGAGAGCGAGCGGTTTCCTAAAGCTGTCGACTTGGTGCCGCGCGTATTCCCTCGACGAGTTTCCGTCGGTCGCCGATTTTTTGCTCACCGCGTGGCCCTTACCTTCGCGCGGGCACATCCATTGTAAAAGCTCCACCGACCAAGCCACCCCAACCCAACCCGAAGGTGTCAATTTGCCCTCCATTTCTGGTGTGGGGGGGGTCGGGGAACATTGAAAAAACACGTATGCAACCCGTACCCCCCCCAACCCGAAATTCGGGTCTTCGCGCGGGCGCATCCGCTGTGAGAGCTCCACTTGCTACGCGAACGAAGAGCGGTTTCTTTGCAACACGGGGCTTTTGCCTGGACGTCTGCAGGCCTCACCGCCGGAAGGTATAGCACCGTGCGCCACGGCTGCGCGGACCGGGAGGGTACTTTTCTTTCCGGTGCTCGGGCTCTCGCTTGAGACCTCCGGTGTTCGAAGCTTCGTGCTGTGCAACAGCCATGCCCGTCGGTCGTTGGAGGTAGCTATCTCTCGATCCCCAGATCCCCATCTACTTTTAAGTCGGGCCTGTCCCTCTACAGGAGAAATATTCAAAAATAGTTAAAACATAGTCTGGGACGTTTTTTTTGCGCCTTCCCATCTCATTAACCGGTATGCTCGTGCTGTGTTCTGTTACTCCCCGAGAGGGCCTGAACCCAATCTGCTTTATCCGCCTGCCTACTTCATGCTTTTATCTACTTCCTCCGACCGACGTGTAGTCAACCAGCATAGTAATGATGAGTGACTTTCCGAGGCTACCCTTGCATCCTTCCCTTTCGGCCCGTCTCGCCAAGTGGCGACATGGCCCTCCAAGGCCCTTGCATCCTTATCGTGCGCCCTTGTTCTGCGGGTTGACCGCACAGTGGATGGAGGGCGGTCTCCTTCCGATGCTGGGCTCTCTGCAGCAGATGCGCGAGTGGAGGGCGGCTCCCTTCCCAAGCGGGGGCTGCCGCCGCAGGCTTCCACGAGCGTGCTGGTCCGACCTCCCGGTTCTCGAGGCAGACAGTCGGAGAGCGCTCTCTTGGCAAAGCGGGGCTCTCTCGCCGGACTGGCGAGCAGGCCAGCTGGGCGCTCGGCTCTCGGGGCGCCGCTCCCGGCAGCCACGATGGGGTGCTCGCAAAGGGCTCCGCGAGAGGTGGGGCGCGGACGGACGGGTGCATGGCAGCATCGCTGACGCCGCCCGGGTTTGCAGAGCTCCTCCTCCTCCTCCTCCTCGAGCTCCTCCTCCTCCTCCTCCTCCTCCTCCTCCTCCTCCTCCTCCTCCTCCTCCTCCCCCTCCCCCTCCTCCTCCTCCTCCTCCTCCTCCTCCTCCTCCTCCTCCTCCTCCTCCTCCTCCTCCTCCTCCTCCTCCCCCCCCTCCTCCTCGAGCCTCGGCCCCCGGGCCCCGTCCTGGGGCGCCGTGTTGGGGTGGGGGCCTACGGGGCCCACGTCCCCCCCCCCCCCCTGAGGTGGCCGCAGGCAGGCAGAGGACCCCGGGGCCGTGCCTGCTTCGTCTGCAGCGTGCGGCGGCGTCAGTCACCACCCACCAGACCACCCCAACCCAACCCGAAGGCTCAGATTTACCCTCGATTTCCAGTTCGGGGGGGGGTCGGGAAACATCGAACAATCACATGTGTGGAACCCTTACCCCCCCCCAGCCCGAAAGTCGGGTCTTCGGGTTGGGTTGGGGTGGTCTGGTAGGCAGTCAGTCAACGGGCCCGTCCAAGAACAGCGAGTGAATCTCGGAGAGGGCGTTGCGCCCACGGGGGGGGGGGGTCTGCCTGTCACGGCCCTGGGGCCCCCCCGAGGTCCCCGTCCACCTCTGTATGGCTCTGCCCGCTTTCTGTTGCTGGCGGCGGTGGCAAGGTGCGCCCTTTGCCGCGCGCTTCAGTGATGGCTGGCGGTTGGCAGACCCTGTCGCCCAGGAGAGGGGCGAGGACGGGGGAAAAAAAAGATTCGAGGGGGCGTGCCGTCCCGTGCGAGAGCTGTTCGGGAAACCTGCTCATGGCACGCCCAATGGGACCTGCATGAGCAGAGGCAACCACGAACACCATCACAAGAAAGATTCGAAGTACGGCGTGGATGGCGAGCAGGAATGACATGCTGTCGGTGACAATTAAGGTGTCTGTGACATATCTTCAGCATGCGTCATCCTGGCTGCGCCGCCCAGTGTGTGGGCATTCCAAGGTTCTCCCAGGACGCCTCTCCTCCGGACTCCTCCCCAAAAAGGGCGCGCAGCAGAGTGGCGACCGTTGCGCGCCCAGCAGCATTCAGGGAGGGCGAGGCCTACCGTAGGACGTCATTCCGCTGGACCTCCCAAGGAGCCCACGAAAGTGGTGGCACTTGCGCAGTTTGCAGCGCCCGGAGAGGGGCGGTCTCGTTTGGATCCGCGTAGGGCACCACCCCGCTGGACCTCCAGGGGCGCAGCAGAGTGTCGGCAGTTTCGCAGTTGGCAGAGCCTAGGGAATGAGGTCTACAGTCGAGCGTGTGATTAAGACACCTCCTCCCGAAAACCTGGGCCAGCGTTTCTTTACCAACTTGCCCGAAAACTGGCCTAGTTTCTTGGGCACATTCGCCACTTCAGCGTTAGGAGCAGGAGTTGGCCCAGGCTTGTTTTAAGAAACCTGCGGGAAGCTGGCCCAGAATTCTGAAATGATCTTTTTCTTGATGATCTTTTCGGTTGTAGGCTGCATTCGCGTGGGACGCCATCCCGCTGAGCCTCCCAGGAGCTCACGAAAGTGTCGACCATTGCGCAGATTGCAGCACCCTTGGGTGGGGAGGCCTGATCTGGATCCGCGTGGAACACCCCCCCGCTGGACCCCCCAGCAGCTCACGAAAGTGTCGATCTCGTGCAGACTGCAGCACCTCAGGGGGGAGGTCCAAACCCGCGCAGGATTCCATTCCGCTGGACGCCTCACGGGCGGAGCAAAGTGGCGACACCAGCTGTGCAGTTGCTGGCACCAGACAGGGAGGGTGGGCGCTGGGGGGCGAGGCCCAGCTTGTGTCACCGCTGGGCTCCGCAGCGCTGGACCCCCCCAGGGGCGCAGCAACACCGCGGCACCTGCACGATTGGCGGCATGATCCGGACGGGATGGGCAGTTTGGATCTGCGTAGGGCTCCGCTCCGCTGGCCCCCTTCTAAGGGCGCAGTGGAACGGCGGCATTTCCACAGTTCGCAGCACCCAGGGACGGGAGCTCTAGTTCGGATTCGCGGAATGTTCCACTCCGCTGGGCCATCCGTGGGACGCAGCAAAGTCGCGGCAGTTTCACGCCGTGGGACTCTACTCCACCGAGATTCCCAGGGGCGCGGCACAGTGGCGACACTCGCGCAGTTGGCAGCACCCAGGGACGGCGAGGTTTAGCTTGGATCCGCGTGAGGCTCCATTACTTTGACTCCCTCAGGGCAGTTCGCAGCAACCGTGTAGGGGAGTCTAATCTTGCGTCCGCATAGAACTTCATACCACCTGGGCGCCGAAAGGTTGCGGCAGTTGGCAGTGCCAAGGGAGGGCGAGGTCTAACTTGGGTCGGTGTAGGTCTCCACGCCGCTGGACACCCCCATGGGCGCAGCAGAATTGGGGCAGCTGCGCGTGAGGAAGAGGCTAGAAGGAAGCGGAAGGGAAGCGACGAAGCAGCGAGGAGGCGAGGAGGAGGAGGCAGCGAGGAGGCAGCGAGGAGGAGGGGAAGGGGGCGGGACCAGTGCTCTATTAGAAACGAGTGACCAACACAGGATGTCTGGGAACAACATGACAAAGCATTAGCTCGCCCCACCCCCTCCTCCCTCCTCTATCGATGCTCGGGGCCGGCGTCTGTGAGTCTGCCGCAGGCAGCGCTTTCCGACCGCCGCTCCCCATCGAGAGATGGCCCGCTAGCCCAAGGCTCGCGCAGGATCGAAGTTAAGTTGCGGTGCCGTCGCCGTCGCCGTCGCCGCCGCGATCTCCCTCGTCTTCGTCGTCCTCGTCGTCGTCATTGTTGATTTCCCGATCTTGAAGATTCATTGGTGATCCCCCGCACCGATGCATGGTATTTTTCAATTGAAGTGTCCCCGCGGGGGTAGCACCCTGTTTCTTGATCTTGGAAAATCTTCCTGCTCAAACTGTGCTCCTGGACCCCCGGCTACAACAGCAACGGCTCCCGCCTGATACTTCCTCACAATACATTCCGGCATTGCGCTCTCGCGTGGGGCAGGGGGGGATAACGAGGAGGAGGAGGAGGAGGAGGAGAAGGATGAAGGGCGGGAAGACTAAGGGTTGGAGGGAGAGGAGAAAGGAGGAAGAGGATGGAGCATTAGGAGGAATGAGGATGGTGATGATGATGAGGAGGAGTAGGAGAAGGAGGAGGTGGAGGAGGAGGAGGAGGAGGAGGAGGGAAGAGGAGTAACAGGACGATAGATATGATGACCGATAGTGAGGAGGGGATAGGATCGAGGAGGGAGGAGGGGAGAGGGAGGAGGGAGGAGGCATGGTGGTGGTGATGATGATGGATGATGAGGATGATGATGATAATGATGATGATGATGATGATGATGATGATGATGGTGGTGGTGGTGGTGGTGGTGATGATGCGGAGGTTGATGATGATGTTGATGAGGATGTCGATGAGGATTATGAGGAGGAGGAGACGGAGGAGGAGGAGTAGGAGGAATATGACGAGGAGCAGGAGGAGGCGGGATGGTACGAATGATAATGATGATGATGGTGATGCTGCTAATGATGATTATGCTGATGCTGTTCCTGATGCTGATGATGATGCTAATGATGATGCTGCTGGTGATGATTATGCTGATGATGATGGGGAGGATGAGGAGGATGAGGAGGATGAGGATGATGATGAGGATGCTGCTGATGATACTGACGATGATGATGCTGATAATGATGCTGATGATGAGGATGATAATGATGATTCTGATGATGATGGTGATGATGAGGAGGAGGATAATGATGATGATGATGATGATGATGATGGTGGTGGTGGTGATGATGCTGATCATGATCATGATGATGATGATGGTGATGAGGATGATGATGAGGATGATAATGATGATGATGATGATGATGCTGATGATGATGATGATGGTGATGATGATGATGATGATGTTGATGCTGATGATGCTGATGATGAGGACGACGATGATGAAACTGATGATGATGATGCTGATGCCGATGGTGCTTATGATGATGAT